AAATCACCAAAAGTGAATAGTACAATGTCGGGGAGAGGCACAGCATCGTCACGTGCGGAAATAATAAAAAAATGAAAAGAAAAAAAAACAGGGTTGGTCCGCCGGACCAGAATTTGGTCTGTGGCGGACCAACCTGCTCAGCCGGACTCAGACTGGACAGCGCGAACTGGAGAAAGATTTCAAAAAAAAAATATAAGGTGCCGGTCCAACGGACCAGGAGGTTGGTCCAGCGGATGGTCCGTCGGACCGGGACTCGACAGACTCTGCAACTTGCCAACTTGCGGTCTTGGGATGCGGATTTCGCCGGATTCCGGGGCCTACCTGCCGTGCTGCCACCTCCCACGCCTCGAGGGCGTTGCAGGCTCGCCTATGGGCCTGGACTTGAGCCCATTCGTCCTCTCTCCCCCACCATAAACACCCCTCAATCCTCTGCCACAACCATTCTAGAGCAAAATAGAGGAGGAAGAGAAAGAGGGAGAAAGGGAGAGAAAGGAGATGAACCAGAGAGAAAGGAGCTCGGGGAGACCAAGAGGGACGTGCCCAGACGTGTCCCGAAGCTTCTCACATCGTGTGGAGCCACGAGGAATGCACACAAGCTCGGACAAACTCAAGAACAAGGTGAGTGGCTTGAGTTGGATTTGTGAGATCTCATTTTCAATGTGTGATGGTGCAAATCGAGATTTCCTTGTGTGTTTAAGGCTTAGAACCTGTCTAGGAATGTAAATCTATGTTTTAGTAGCATTTGGAAGCAACCCCGAATTGATTAGAGTGAGAAAAATCGATACAGATCTCGGAAATGGCGAAGTTGAGAGAGAGTTCCAGTCTCGGTCCGTCGGACCACACCGTGGTCAGCTCCGGACCGAGACTGAGACAAAACACGTGAACTCAGACGGACCAAGGAAACAGACCGGACCAAAAAAAAACACGGCCTGGTCCGTCGGACCAGAACTGGTCCGCCAGACCAGACGTGTTCCGAGGAGACGCACACTGTCTGACCAGAAGAGAGACGGACCGGACCAAGAAAATAACACGCCTGGTCCGGGCTGACCAGTCCTTGTCCGCCGGACTAGATGTGTCGTAGTGAGGGGCACTCCGTCTGACCAGAAGAGACGGACCGAGAGAGGAGAAGCAGGCTGGTCCGGGGCTGACCAATCTTGGTCCGCCGGACCAGACTTGTTTTCTCTTTCGGATCGACTGACCAAGAGACGAGGCGGACTAGGAGAGAAAGAGAACTGATCCGGCTGACCAGAATTTGGTCCGACGGACCAGGCTGAGAGAAAAATTGGAGAAAATTTAATTTCAACCGGGAAAGAGAAAACGAACAACGGGGTTGACCCGGGTCTGACCAGACTTGACCGTGGCTGAACCAAACCCCCACCAAAGGACAAAGCTTCGCGATTGGGATCAATCGAGCCAAGTTTTCGCCAGAACGTTGCGTAGCGTAGTGAGTTGTGCGGTATTAAAAATACGAGTGACCGTTGCGTGATTGTTGTGGGTAGAATTGCATGGCGTTAAACGGTAGCTCGGTAGGGATTGGATACCGTGATACGCGTGATTGTACTATGGGGAATTGCACGTTGTGTGCCATGTGTGTAGCTGGCTCGTTCGTACGAGTTAAGCGTGATTGTGGTTGTGGATGGTTGTGGACTCAACCATCACCGTCATGGACTTGACGGGTGTTGAGATGTCTTCTAGTCGTGTGCGACACGACGGCCAACGTCATGCAAGTGACGGGCCTGGATTCGCCTCTAGTCATGGATTTGACTAGGGTATATGGTTAAACCCTATGGTGGACTCCATACGGGAGTGATTGTGATTGTCATTTACGTATTTACTGTGTTTTGCTTATTGCATGTATGTTATGGAAATGTCGACTGTACCGTTCTCAGTGGGAACGGGATTTCCGGGTTCAACCCGGGCTACTCACTAAGCGGTTGTGCTTAGCCCTCGTGGTTTATATTTTTCAGATCACGAGGATTACGCCTAGCGCATCGGACGACGACGACCTGAGAGAAGCAGCATCATGTACAGGATTTGTACTCTAGACTATGGGACTTGTATTCCCGCATTTTGTACGGTTATATTAAGACTATTCGGACATGTGTTATTTTTCGACTGATCACGTTGTATTTTCCATTGCTTACTCGGATTTGAATTAAAATGTTTTTGGATTTCGTAATTTCGCTTCCGCAAATTTATTATTTTAATGTATATCGTCCATGTGGCACAGTCGATATACTGTACACGGGTTACGGGTGTCACGACCATGTTGAATGCAACACGGTCCGTGTCAATTCTCTGTTAAAAATCTGCACTTTAGACATGGGCTGATTAGGGCGAGTTTGAATCAACACGGTCCGTGTCAATTCTCTAAGCAAAACTTCACTTTTTTCAGCACGGACACAACACGGCCGTGTCGAATGCAACACGGTCCGTGTCGATTCTTCAACTCGAACATGCTTGACAGATTTGCTCATAACTTTCTGCTCCAATGTCGGATTTGTACGATCTTAGTGTCTATGCGTAGATATAGAAGAGAGCTTTCCAATGAGGTAGAGAACACATAAATTGGACTTGTAAAGTAGAAGTTATTGGACTTGCAAGATCTGACTTTTTAGGATTCGTGTTTTTCCCATGAACAACTCCAAATGTCCCCATTTTGTCTGTGATGTTCCGTAGTCCATGTTTTCCACTCCTTTTGCTCTCTTTTATGCATGAATACCTGTTTCGACACCAAAGAAAGTAACCAAGCAATATCGAGACCAAATGTACTCTAGAATGCCTGTAAATATGCAAAACCGAGTAAAATGCACTAGACATCTTATACCAAAATATCACCAAAATACATGTTATCAGGAAGCTAATAGGAAAGCGTTAGTTAGAGAGCGATGATCCCTGACCGGACGCGTTCTAGAATAGAGACTAGAGTTTCCTGAATCAACCTTGGATTGCAAACCAACCATATCTATTTAGATGTTCCGTAGAATCAGTGAACCCCCGAACCTACAATGTTTTAAATTATAGTTTTTTCAACCAACCAACCAATCTACTTTCGACCTTCGCTAGGATCACCTTCGACACCATCACCTCTCGGTCCATGTATTCGATCCTGATACTACATCGAATCTATACCCTTGTGGAATCAGCTTAGTGTAGGTTTTATCACTTGACCATCCAATCATTTAGATTGACACGATCATAATCTCATAAGTTACATTCATTAACTCGTTCCAAATGAATATCCATAATTGTGATTCGCATACAATACACATGATTATCTCTGTGCACAATTCATGCTAGTTTTAATTTATCATCGTTCCCAAAGAACAACCGAATAGAGAATTTAGAATCATCATTGGATGATTTAAAGATACCGATACATAACAAACATCCAAATCATATAACGAAAAATATAATATATTCATATAAATAAATCAATATAAATTACAAATGTCATATCTCGGATTATCTTAAAAAATCACAACCAACATTTAATATTTCATACTTATTTTAATAAACTTGATTTTACTTTGAAACCTAAATAACGATTCAATTGGTCTTCGGATTTAAATCGTTACACTGTTTGAATTTGTTTCTTTGCTTTTTTATTCTAAGGTTAACTACCTTAAGTATTTGTTAAGGTATATATATATCTAGAGTTATAACACGCTTCTTCCAATTAATTCTCTTTTTCATACACTAAAGTGGTATTCTCCATTTTTTTTAAATTTTTTGTAGGATTGTTATATATTTCGGCCTGCATAGATCTTTTCCGCATAAATAAAATTGAAATGAACATAAAAAATTATATATGAGCCAAATCCGATTAAAACATTAATTTGATGGGATTTTTTTACACAAGTCGAATTGAATATGTAAATAATAGAAAGAAATACAAATCAAATATTTATAATAAAAATTCGAAAAATTCTAGTCTTTTTCCATGGATTTTTTTACAATTGATATTGCATTTCCCCATTTCCCCAACATTAAATTCCGTATACTAAAAGTCTAAAGCACTCAAATAATTATATGTACGCTATCACTTTTTTGGTCATGATCTTTTGTCAACTTAATAACACCTTTCTTTGTTGTTAAAATTCAATAGTTTTCCCTGTTTTTTTTTTGTGCAACCATTATAGAATAGGGAGTCTAGGAACTATATGAGATTATTATCACAATCCTAAAAGTATAAAAAGAGAAATAAAATTTCTTTAAAAATGTATAAAACTGCTTATTTTCTTTATTGTTCTTTTCCAATATCTCGAGTGCTTATTTTTCTTTTCCAATATGACTTGACAAATCCATTTAATTTTATTATCTGATAAAGTTACATTAAAATTTGTATCGTTACATATCAATACTATCTTAACAATTATGCTCTTTTTTCCCTTTTCTTAAAATGGATACAAAAATTTTATATTTGAATTCTATTTTCCTCCCCATACCTTGTCAAATGTTGATTTCTACACCCTATGGTTTTTTTTTGAAATGTGGGTAACATTGTGGTAACACAACTTTTATATGATCAATTCATGACAGTACATACCACCCAGTAATAAATAATCATCTACGAGAAAATCCTACCAGTTAACTATTTTGAATAGGCAAAAGATAAACACATGCACACATTATAATCAAATTCATTCTTCAAAATTTTTAAATAAAAGTTTCTTAATTTTTTGTAACTAAGAATTGTCTGTGGTAAGAATCGTTGTTGGATTCAAACATTACTTAATTACATCCGTATTTTAAAACTAAAATCTACAGATTTTTAATGCTATATACATTTTCTATCTATAATAATAATAATAATAGGGAGCAAAAGGTAACAATGCAAAGTACAACTGGTCAATCTGAAAATAATTGTAAAAGTACGGGGTAAAAGTAGAACGTACAGAACACAAAATAAATAAAAAAACGTTTTTTTGGTAAATATTTATTTTTATTTCTCGCAGTAGGCTTCCCTCCACATCTATCCCAACATAAAATTCCTTCTTTCCCTCGTTTTCTGCTCTCTCTCTCTCTGTCAAAACCCTCGTTTTCTGCTCTCTCTCTCTCTCTCTCTCTCGCTGAGTCTCTCCCTAGATTCGGCGTCTCCCTCTTGCTGGATCCTCCATCGGACTTCTCCCACTATAATCCATGTCCGGCGACGCGCGATCTTCTTCCTTGGCAGCTCCGCCTCCGTCGCCGGCGCCGGCGCAGTATGCAACGTCGTCTTCGGCGACATCTGCTCCGGTAGTTCCACCCATTCGCCGGAACTTAGCATTCGCATCCACAAAGCCGCCGTTCCATCCGCCTGACCACTACCACCGATTTGCCCCTTCTGCTAGTAATACTAGCGATAGTAGCGTTGTTGTTAATGGCTGTAGAATCGCCGATCAGGAGGAGGACGCCATTGTAGTTAGATCTCCTGTGAGTTCGCTTCGCTTTTGGTGTTTTTGATTGCTCGATTTTTTTTTTTTGTTGAAATTGTGAGAAAATTCGGAAAGGTTTTGGGGTTTCCTTGCTTCATTGCTGCTTGGTTTTTGCTTTGAAATAATTATCACTCTTGGATTCTACTTGTCAAGGGACTCAAGGGTCAGATTTTTGCGGATTCATCTGTATTTTGTACCCTTTTATCTTGATGATAGTACATTTGACAAATCGTCTGGTGCTAGTTTCTGCGTGTTCCGATCTACCCAATTGACGAGATTCTGGAGTTTCAGGCTACAGGTTTTCATAATACAATATGTTTGGGTTGTGTATTGATGAAGTACGTTTGTCTAAATGTAATCAACTGCTTGGAGGAAGGAGAGAAATCAGCTTATCCATGTTGTTCTCTACATTGCCAATCGAGCTTTTGGGTTTCATGTTTACATTTACTACATTGCACGGTTGCTCAAAGAGCAAATAAACTTTACCCATCTCGTATCTGTATCCTAGAAGTATATTTTCCAGTTGCTTCTCCACATAGTGTCACTAGTGCGTTTGCTGATTCCACTGCTCTGAAACAATGAACAACTTACAGCATATGCTGACTATTATAGGGGTTATGGTGTAGGAAGCAAATAATGTTTGGCATGCATATGTTTCTTCAGTAGATGAAGTCATTGTAAATGGTTCTGTTGAAAGCACATAGGGGGACTTTGGTTCCCCTCTTAGGAACATTGTTGGTAGTATCTTTTTTTACCGTTTTTAGTGTTTTGCGTTACTAGGATAAGCTGATTCTTGTCAAGTTAAAGTTAACTATATTGTACTTTGCAGGCATTAAAGAGAAAGCCTTCAGTGGATGCGGGTGATATTCAATCTAACAATGGTTTCATTAGTTCTGGTTTCAATGGCATATCCAACAGTACCTGTCAAACCCCTGTTTCTGCAAAAGGAGGGAGAATCAACAACAGGTCGAAGGCCTCCAAAGGCAACAGATCAACTCCACAAACACCCATATCAAATGCTGGTTAGAACAATCACATATTATCCTTATCGTATTTGTGAAGTTCAAATCCATGGAGTAGCCCGTCTAGCACTCTGCCAAATTTACTATGTGCTATATGGGTACATTTCAGTTCAAAATTCTCTCTATAGGATAGAGAGCTGATTGTTATGTTAAACTTGCAGCTTCTCCTGCTACGCTTACGCCTACTGGCAGTTGTCGATACGACAGTTCGTTAGGTAATTTATGAATAATTGCTTACATCTCCCATATTCAATAAATCTTATAAAGGAATATGGACATACGGATGCTTACGCTAAAGCCTTCAGGTCTTCTGACAAAGAAGTTCATCACATTAATTAAGCAAGCGGAAGATGGAATGTTGGATTTGAACAAAGCTGCAGAGACGCTGGAGGTGCAGAAACGGCGTATTTATGATATCACAAACGTTTTGGAGGGAATTGGTCTCATTGAAAAGAAGTTGAAGAACAGAATACAGTGGAAGTGAGATTTTTATGATATAAAGCACTTGCTATAAATGGACTATCTTCAATTCTTTTCTTTATTATCGAGATATTCTCTTGATTGCCCGAGTACATCTAAACTTATTTGAGGATTGGCGAATTTTTTCAGGGGGGTTGATGCATCAAGGCCTGGAGATATGGATGCCAATGTTATTGTCTTACAGGTACGCCCAGATAAAACATGGGGTAAAGTTATTGTGCACTTAGGTGGCCATGATACTTTGGTAGGGCTTTTGAATCTTAAATTCCAGCTCTGTATAATATTTGATCTTGTTTTCTCTTCGCAGGCAGAAATTGAAAACCTTACTATCGAAGAGCAAACACTAGATAATCAAATCAGGTTTTATTGTGTTTTTTTAGAAAAATTCTTTTTGTTCAGATCAATTTACACAACCAATCTTGATGTTTAACAATTTTCCAGGGAAATGCAGGAAAGATTGAGAGATTTGAGTGAGAATGAAAACAATCAGAAGTAAGAAACTCCGTCCCCCCTATACGTATGATTTTGTAGAGTCTTGTTATGATGGGCTTTTACCTATTCCTAATTTCCTACACATATTCAGATGGCTTTTTGTAACGGAGGAAGACATCAAGAGCTTACCGTGTTTTCAGGTTTGTCTCTTCTTTCATTTGTTTTAGTTCGTTGGAGTTTTTTATTCATCTAATGAGCATACATCAATTCCCGAGACTTCCATGTTCAGTTTTACATCAACTCTCTTTTTGCCGCTCCCACAGAATGAAACTCTGATAGCCATCAAAGCTCCTCATGGGACAACTTTGGAAGTCCCTGATCCAGATGAAGTGAGTCTCACAGGAATGTTTGTATTTATTGATCTGATGACACATTTTGAGATGACATTGCTACTTTACATGACAGGCTGCTGACTATCCACAAAGGAGATACAGGATAATTCTCAGAAGCACAATGGGTCCTATCGATGTATATCTTGTGAGGTACTTCATCAGTGGTCAAGCAACAACCTAGTTTGTTTCATTTTTTTCTTTTACTTTCAGTAGACTTACCATTTCCCCGTTTCACGTGTTTTCTCGGACTGCATCTTCAGCCAATTTGAAGAGAAGTCTGAAGATGCAAATGGAGCCGATCCACAAGCAATATTGCCAATTGCGTCTGGCTCGGGGTCCAATGAAAACCATGACATGGAAACTTTTACCATTGGCAACACAAGAAGTGAGATTCAGCCTCAGGTGGCTCATGCTCAACCCAGTACCTCAGATCTTGATTCTTTACAGGACCAAGTTGGAGGAATGCTCAAAATTACGCCCTCTGATGTCGATGTAAGCCGTCTTAGCTTATATGAAAATATCTTGAATGCTATTGAATGGAGCTCGGATAGAGAGTAAGGGCTATAAACAATCCTAAAACAAAAAGAAAAAAGACTGATTTACAATACGCATTCAGTGACGTTTTGCTATCTGACGCAAACTCAATAGATGCACCATGAAATAGTGCAGCCTAACCTTGGTAGTTCTGTCAAGACGACATATTAGGCCGATTAGAATTATTTTTCGGGATTAATTCTTCTAGGAGTAAATTTTCTTCTGTTTGGGATATTGATAACCCAAGTCCCAAAATCAACTAAGAGATTGTCAGCTTATGAAAGAAAAATTAGACTTTGCTTTATGAAATTCTAGAAACATTAACATAAGGAACTTTTAGATAATTTTTTAACTTCCTTTTAGGTGCATGTTTGTGTTGAAGTCACAGATTTACTAAAAATCTTGGAGTTGCATCACTTGGGACTCTCTGGATATCGAACGAAATTCACCCAACAAGCACAACAATCTCCCGGTTTACTAAAAATCTCTGTCCTGTGATCTTGTTTGTTTTGCAGAATGATGACTACTGGCTTCTCTCTGGAAATGAGCTTAGCATGACAGAGTATTGGAAAACCGACTGTATCCTTTCTATACATACATCTATTGTATCTCTCTCGTATTTTACCTATCAAGCCACTGGCAAAATCCTCATGTTCACAACCAAAACATGGAAAGTCCTTCACTTTTTAGCTACAGCTGGTATCGATTGGGATTTCGGAATAGCCGATGTCAGTACACCACGGGCTGAAACACCGTCTATAACGGGTGAGATACCGTCCACCACTCAGAGGTAACCAAGCATGGCTGTACACATGGTACAGAAACCGTAAAAAAAAAGAAAAGGAAAAAGGAAACACCTCAGTATCTGATCCGAACTGTACGTTGCATCAGTTCCTGAGGAGGTAATGGCTCAAAAATGGTGTAAACTTATTAACCCGTGACTGAAACCGCTGCTATGCCATTCCCTATCGGGTCTTTAGACTGGCAATGGAGGAATGGCAAAGAGTTAGAGCCCGAGGAACGAGGAGATCAATACTCATCTAACGACGTTTCTCAGGTTCGTTTATTGTATCCTGAAGTCATATCGTTTTTTTTTTAATCTTTGAGTGAACTTGTTGTAGAGGATTGAGGGAACTTAGAGTTGGATTGAAGAGGAATGTAAGATATAGAGATTTATCATCGGCTTCTTGTGTTTGAACCCAAAGACTGTTGATTTGGGTTCAATGCCCAATTTTTTCAAACAGGTTATTGGTTTTATTTAAGAAAATCACTTATTTTAAGCTATAACGGTGACGAAAAATGGTTTTACTGCTGTTTTTTTTTTACGCTCATTTGTTGTAGAATTTATGGTATGGATCAGTTTGTGGTTAATTTGTTTAGGATATATGAAATAGATTTTAGGTCAACTTATCGAATTGTGACTACGATGAACAACTTATCGAAATCGTTAATAATACAATTTTATTGTTTAACTGATATAATTAGAAAGAATGTTAAAATTAGACGAAATTCGTAAGGGGATTGATATTGAGTATATTGTTATTGGAGAGGAAAAATCTCTAAACCATTTGAGAAGATATTCAATGTGTGTAATGTGTTATAATTCAAACTAAATTCCTAGCCGAGAAAATATTTAGCTTTTTACAGATATATTAACAAAACTAAACCATAATTAACTTTGTGTTACACTTATTAGGGATAGCAATTTATGTTCAAATCATAAAAATTGAATAATATATAATTGTAATTAAATTAAGCCTAGGTGCGGGTTAGGTGCCTAATTTTGTTTTTAGGATACACCATCTCGGCCGACGGCCGTGGCATTCTCGGATACACCATCGTTCCTCAGAATCTGAATCAACCTCATGCAGTTAAAGCAAAGGCGAAAGAGAGAACCCCAATCCTTTTTAGAGATTTTGATTTTTCCAGTGATTTTATATCTTTACCTTCACGGTTGATTCCAATTTTGTAAAAACCTAAATCCCTAACTTGTCGTACAACGCTTGCCTTGTCGTCGTTTTGTCTCTCTCTTCCCCCTCTTTCTCGGTTCGAATTATCCGTAGATGCAGTGAATCATTCGAAGAATCCTGATCTTGATCCCAAACTTCGGATTTTCAATGGCGATAACGTGACCTCGTCCTCATCGACGGTCAAATTTCCGCTAGATGAGTGCCCATGAGAAAACTGCTCACACATCGCCAGATATCCCTACTTGTGACATTGTCATATGATTCATATTCCTCCAACAAGGATTGGACGTGGATACTTGAGAATTGTGGATTTTTGAATATCCGATTTTGTAGATATCTGGGATGTGGGTACTCAATCATCAGTGAAGGCAAAAACGGGTGTGATAATGCCAAGGATTAGAATCGCGAGTTCGGATTCAGGTTTTTTAATGATATCAAATTATCTTCGATATCAAGATGATGTTTATATTCTAAATATTTTTATGTATTTAAAATAATACCTAAATATATTTTCATATTAAATTACTACAATATTCTTCCTGAAGTCAATACAATTTAACATTTTTTAAAAATTTTGACGGATTTAGATACTCGGTACTCGAACTTAACGGTAGATATTTAGATCGCGTTGGGTTTCATGAAAATGAGAAGGGGAATACTTTTCTAAAACCTGTAAAGACAGAGACCATGACCGAATACCTCAAAAAACCCAAATACCCGAATACTCACCCTTAATATGAAAATTGAATGAGAATCTAACCAAAACCAATAAAAGAAACGATAAAAGATGGAAGTGAGTAATCTTGAATCATGTGACAATGATTTATTTATTTAGAGATAAATGAGCCAACCTCAAAGTGCCCAAAAAGTACAAGAAGATTGGGCCCACCTCAAAGCCGCTCCTATTTGACCTTTCTTTTCCTTTTTCCATTTGATTTTTATAAATCTCTGTGTCTGTGTTGTAATATGAGTTTATTCATTTTCTCCTATAACCTTTCTAAGGTTTAAATAGAACCTGTGATTGCATGGAGTGGCTAATTAGTTGTTATTAGAGTCAAACATTTTGATTCAATTAAGTATATATGAATTAAATTCCATTTATGATACAATTTTTTAAAACTAAATTAAAGGAATATAAGGATAACTCAAATTTGATATAAAAAAAATTGAAAATCTTTTTGTACAATAAATATTTTAAATAAATTAGTCATGAATCTGATATAAAAATCAAATGAATAATTGTTTGTGAAATTTAAAAACTTGTATTCACAAATAGTTGATCGAAACGAAATCGATAACCCAAATATTATGAACCAATAATATTATTTTATTAAACCATTCTCATTGTTCTTTTTAAAATGCTTTCTATTTTCAAAAATCTTGAGTTAGCATTTTTTTTCCTCTACATTTTAGTTTGAAACTTCTTGTTGTCAAACTACATATTTAATTTAAGGGCTACACAAAATGTTTAACGTGTTTAATATATAGAAAGCGATTTCTATAATTTCGATTCAATATAATAAGAAAAGACATGCAATTTGATGCTTCAATTTTTTTCATATTTCAAATATAATCATTATTTACAACAATAACACTTAACAATTACGTTCAGTTTACACAGAAAGATTCAAATAAAAAACCTAGATAGATAGTGGAGTGGAGAATATATTAAAATTCATATGTTCAAACTAGCATCTTTTCAATATTAAATCATAAAATTCGAATTCCGTGGAGCAAAATGTTTAGGCATGAAATAATATTATTAAACATAAAAAGTTTCTTATACGCCATATATATATTTTTTTTCACCACGATATGCTCACAGAAGAATATAATAAAAACCAAAGACAAATTTATTTAAATATTCAAATATCCTATAAAAAAAATAATTTGACAAAAACTACACTCAAATTCAAAATGTGTCATGTATATAGACCACATCTCAAAATCGTTTGTAATTTCCGAATCGAGTATGAAAATCGTTAAATTTCTCATATATATTTTGAATTTGAATGTAGTTTTTTTTGTCAAATTAATATATATATATATATATATATATATATATATAAGATTTTGGTACATTAGTACAACTTAGTGTTGGCTTTTTCATTTTCCCATATATTTAATATATTGGAGCGTAAGTTGCCAACCACTGAGCATACACACACCTCATAATAATATCATTCATTATAGTATAATTTTGTATATTTCATATTTTACAAATTTAATAATGACGTACCAAATATTGTGCGACATAACAACCTTATAAATTAAATGCACAACAATACTTTTAATCATACAATCCTAAATTGACTTTTCAATTTAAAGAAAATGTCACAAGTATCAAATAAAAGCACACCGTTTTTCTTCATTTTAGTAATAAACATGGAATGCATTTGTTTTTTTTTTATACTTTCGAATTTTATTCGAATCTAACTTTATTACAGTAATATTTATTAAATTAAAAAATATTTTCGTTGTAATATAATTTTTGCTTAATTTATATTTATTTAATAAAAAGTATGTATAATTCGTAAATAAATAAATGGTATTATATTTGATTTGATTTTATAAAGCTAAATAAAATATAAACCACGGAAAATCCCTCGAGAATACCAAATTTAATAATATGACAACAAGCAAGACAACAATGCTTTACCATATAATAGCCTTTGTATTCAATTTACAACAAACCAAAAAGAAATTTTTTGACCATAGAGTCCTTATTTGACTTTTTCAATAGAAAAAAGTATATGGCATAATAAACATCACATATATAACTCTGTACCATTTCTAAACCAAATCCCCCAATGCAAAGCCAAATACTCTCTCTCTCTCTCTCTCTCTCTCTCTCTCTCTCTCTCTCTCTCTCTCTGAGAAAAGAAATTGGAATTGCCTTCACTCCACCACCGTATAAGGCACCACACTCATCAAAAGAGTCCAGAAATTTTCTATAAAACCTCAAAATAGATCTCTCTCTCTCTCTTATGGAGGAGAAGGAACCACCAAAGGCTTCAATTCTCCACCGCCGAAACGGCGTCGTTTCACAACCCTTGGACTTGGAGCTCATCTCCATCATCACAAACAGCAAAACATCTCCTCCTCCTCTGCCCTCTTACACCTCCCTCAAAGACGTCCTCCCCTTCTCCACCGCCGCCTCCGTCAACTCTCCCTCCTCCTCCGCCGCCGTCAACTTTCCCTCCGCCGTCGGAATATCCATACGCAACCGCCTCGTAAAGCAAGCCGCCGCCGCATACCTCACCCCTTCCACTCCTAATCCCTCCGCCGCACCTTCCCTATTCCGCCGCTTCTCCTCCGCCGTCCTACGCATCTTCTCCGCTGTCTTGGACTCCTTCCTCAGCCTCTTCCCATATCCCCGGAAGATCTTCAGATCTTGAACATAAGAATCAGAGGAAGAGCTGTGAACTTTTTTTTATTCAAAGTTACGAACTTTCTCGATGTACTGTTAATTACGATTCGAATTTACAAATACCCAAAGAAAAAAGAGAACTTTTTTTATTCCTTCTTTTTTTTTTCAAATTGTGAAAAAAAAAAGAAAACATAGAGAAGCAGGAGAGCAGATAAACTACACCAAGTTGCAAACTTTCTCGCTGTATTAATTCTGCTTCCAATATACAAAACTCCAAAAAGAAAAGAAAAAGAATTCACTCTTTGAATCTCACAAATACAAATCTCTGTCATCCTCTGTTCCACTGACCCTTTCCTCAAAACTTTCATGTGTTTTCTCTTGTTTTTTTCCTGCTGTGAAGGTTTTTGAGTGTCACATAAATACATATATATAAATACATACTTTGCATATGTATATACTATGCTGCGGCCTGAGGTCTAGAGGTTGAGCGACGGAGCTTGGCGCGAGCCTCCGTGACGGGGGATCCCGGAATCGTGTCGGGGATGTTTACTCCGGCGTCA